CATTTACAATTAAGGTTATTATTGATAGGTACTTGTTTGTTGCTATTTTCATTCTTTATGCTTATGTTCCTTCTTCCCTTTCTATTTATTCTTTTTACAATAGTCCCTTTAACATTTCTTGTATTGTTGGCTTGGTAGTCATAAACTCCCTTAGTCCATTTTTTGTCTGCGAAGCTCCCGATTTCCTCTTCAATTTTGATCGATGGTCTTGTTTGATAGATTATTCTTGGATTCAGTCCCTTGCTTTGCACCACTCTGTATTCTTCATTCCATTCCTTACTGGCCTGATGTGTTTCTGTTGAGACATTGTTTTATAGTCTAACTAGAGGCCTGTTGCATGAAGAGATTCATGCAATAGGCCTTCCCTTCCCTTGGCTGCTGGCACCAGTTTTCCTCTGGCACCCGGACCCAGGCCTTCGCTCTGGCTGGGTTCCGGCCAGAGCCCCCAGCCCAGCCATCAGGCTTCGCTGCTCCGCTGATCCCAGGGCCGTGAGGCCTTGCAGCTCCACTGATCCCGGGCCTGTGAGGCCTCGGGGCTCTGCTGATCCCAGGGCCGGGAGGCCTCGTGGGCTCCACTGATCCCGGGGTGGGAGGCCTCGCAGCTCTGCTGATCTTGGGGCCAGGAGGCCTCATGGCTCCACTTGGCGCCAGGGCCGTGAGGCCTCGCAGCTCTGCTGATCCCGGGCCGGGAGGCCTCGCTGCTGGGCTGGCTTCAGGGCCGTTTGGCTTCGCTCCACCGCTTGGAGCCTACATATGCAAATTAACCGCCATCTTTGTTGGCGGTTAATTTGCATATCGCCCTGATTAGCCAATGGGAAGCATAATGAAGGTATGGTCAATTGCCCTTTTTATCTTTTATTAGATAGGATGTTAGATCCATTGTAGTAACTTTCTGTCTCTCTCTTACAGCCCTTAAGATTCTTTCTTTGTTGTTAATGTTTACCACTGTAATTATGGCAAACATGTTGGTGGGGGTCTTTTTGGGTTCATGATGTCTGGGATTCTCTGTACTCATGTGATTTTTTTCTTCCCTAAGTCAGGAAAGTTTTCTGTCATTATTTCTTCAAATAGGTTTTCTATTCCTTGCTCCTCTTCTTGACCTTCTGGCACCCCTATTATGCAGATGTTTCTTCATTTCGTACTGTTCTAAATCTCCCTTAAACTCTCCTTCCTTTTAATTCTTTTTTTCCAATTTCTGTTCAGTTTGGGTGTTTTTTCTATCCTGTCTTCTAACTATTGATTTGGTCCTCTGCTTCTTCTAGTCTGCTGTTGAAATCTTCCATTTTGTTATTTATTGCAGCTATGTCATTCTTCATTTCCTGTTGATTCTTACACATGTTGGTGAATTTCTCATCTAAATGGTTGAGCATCTATATAACCATTACTCTGAATTCTTTCTCTGCCATATTGCTTGTCTCCATTTCATTCAGTTCCTTTTCTGGCAATCTCTTCTTTTCTCTCCTTTGGAGATTATTTATTTGTCTCCCCATTTTTGCTGTCTTTTTCTGGCCCTGAGCACCCTGCTTGGGGTCCAAGAGGTTGAAGCCCCTTTGATCAAATGGTCTGGAAATTTTTAGTCCAGAGGTTGGGTCTGCCTTGAGTCTCACACCTTTATTGTATCTGCTTTGAGTTGTATCCCCTTCTCCCATGGATCTGGTCCCTCAGTTGTCTGCTTCAGATTCTTGGGGTGTCTGGGGCATGTGCACAGTTCCTCTAGTGTGTGACTCCCTGTATGGACCCAGAGCCCTCTGGCATGTAATTTGTATCCGTGGCAGGGTGGTGTCCTAGGTCACTCTGGAAGTGCAGTTGCAGCATGGTCCTGTGGCCCCTGGCTGGGTGCACTGGATTGGTCTGGGTCACCCTGGCAGTGCTGTACTGTGGCCCGGAGTGGGACAAGTGCTGGGTTGTCCAAGTTGCCCCTCCTGGGGCCCAGGGTGGAGCAAGCACCGGGTTGTCCTGGGTCGCACAGTCAGCACCCTACTGTGGCCCAGAGTGGAATAAAAGTATTGTTTATAAAAAAATGTAGAAACTAAAAAAAAAAAATGTAGAAACTTACTTTTTCCCATTATAACACCTGACAAATATAGGGATTGATATATTAACTAGAGGCCTGGTGCATGAATTCGTGCACCAGTGGGGTCCCTTGGTCTGGCCTGTGGGATTGGGCCAAAAACAGCTCTCTGAGATCCCCCGAGGGGTCCCAGATTGTGAGAGGGCGCAGGCCAGGCCGAGGGACCCCACTGGTGCACAATCAGGGCTGGGGAGAGATGCAGGAGATTGGCTAGCCAGGGAGGAACCACAGGAGGACTCTAGGGCTTGTCTGGCCTGTCTCACTCAGTCCTGATCGGCCAGACCCCAGCAGCAAGCTAACCTACTGGTCGACTGTCTGCCCCCTGGTGGTCAGTGCACGTCACAGAGAGCGGTTTAGCGGCCTTAGGATATCATTAGCATATTATGCTTTGATTGGTTGAACAGCTGACGGGCCAACTGGACACTTAGCACATTAGGCTTTTATTATATAGGATTATGCAAAAATTGCTATTTTCCCTTTCTACAACTAAAGGTAGAAAATTTTAAGCAATAAGAGCATTACAAAAATTCAATCTTTTAGGTATTGTCAAGTCAATTATAACTGGTTCTTTAATAAATGAATCTGCCTGCTTATATTGTCATATTCCTATAAAACAAGTCTGGCTTATGATCATTCCTATTTGAAAAGGAGATGGTAATTATTTACTTCACAAGAAGGATTCTTCTCTTTAGAAACTGACTTGTCATAGGAGTGACTGTCCAGATAACTTTTTTGAGAAATTTAAAATATGATCCAGTTTATGTATGACTTCTCAGGAATCTATTCTTTCACAAGAGAAGGTATTTAGGTATTTTTCAGATGCAAACATGCAGGAAATTTAAAAAACAAAAGCTAAAACACCAGAATTTCTTTGAAAAAAAAACAGAATTGAAAACATAAGTGCAAAGATTGTTCAGACAAATCTGAGGCTTGTCTAAACTACACATTCTGAGAATTTATGGGAAAAGAGAGTAAATTTTGGCCACAGCTGAAGCTTTAAATTCTAAACATGCTCTGTGGTGAGAAATGACAGCAATGTTAGCTACTGTCTTGGCAGACAGGTCATGGCCATGGCTTTGCCTGGCCCTCTAACCTTTCTTCAGAAAATATGAATGTCATAAATGTAAATCGATATGCAATATTTGTTTAAGAAACCCAAATATTTTAGGATCATAGCTTTAAAAATCTACTCTAAGCATAGAGGATTTTATGTCCTAATATTTTTGGGACTGGAGATATTACTGAAATTGTGATTATGTTGTTAAATTATTAAATTACTCATTTGTACTCCCTAAGGAAAAATATCTAGACTTATTCATAGGAATGAAATGTAACATTTTATGAGACAGCATGCAATTAAATTATTTGGCTAGGAAAGTTCAAAGCAAGATCACTGGGAAAAGGGCAGCAAAAAGAGGAAACCTATGGTCCCAGTCATAGACTCTAAATACACTTTTTAGAATCAAAGCATCATGTGAAGTTTATACTTAATAGATAGAAATGACTAAAAATAAAATACATTTTGGAGAAAGATAATTTTGCAAAAAAATGTTATTTTGGTAATATCCCATAGATCCAAGTATTCTTTTGTAATGTTAACATCAAGAAATAAAATGATGGAAAAATCAAAGGAAAATTATATTCCTTTGCTAAAACTTTTATGGAGATTAAAGTGCATAATAAAAATTCGACTGTTAAGATTATGGAAAAATGCAAGTTTTAGACATGAGATTTTATCTACTATCTTTAAAAGAAAGATAAAAATTTTGAAGAGAAACTTGTCTCTAAAAAGCAGGGTTATTTTACATTTACTGAAAGTAGATGTCTTTTAAAATTCTATTCTTATTGATTTAGAACAAAATAGGTTTGGAGTTTAATACTAGTTCACTTTTATTTTATTTGTAATAAGTTGGAATTTAAAATGAATTCACTTTTATTCCTTTCTTTGGGTACCTGAAGACAGCCATTTAATTTTATTTACTTATTTTTTATATTAGCAAGTGAAATGTTGAAGCAAGAGAAGCATTCATTTGTTGATTATTGTATGTGCTCTGACTGGAGATCAAACCCACAACCTTTAAACTTGCCTGCAACCATTGTATGTGCTCTGACTGGGGATCAAACCCACAACCTTTAAACTTGCCTGCAACCGTGGCATATCTGGATGACGCTCTAACCAACTGACCTACCTGGATAGGGAATCAATATAGCCATTTAAAATGCAACAATTTATCAAAAAGGAAAATCAACAGTCTACATGAGTCTTTTCAAAAATAAACTTCAGCTGCCTTCTTTCAAGTTCTAACATGTGAGCTTTTTTTTTTTTTTGAAAAAGCTCATGCAATTTGGGTATCTTCATTAACCCTTGTATAATAGTTATGAAATTCAATAAACTATAGCTCTGAATGTTTTTTGCTGAATGACTAATTTATATAACAAGGGCAGTGGTTTTAAAAGTGTGGTCTGTGGAACCTGGGTGCCACATTTCTTTCCTTTCTTCCCTTCCGAAGTTTTGAACAAGGTGGATTTAACCTTTTGAAGGGTGCTTTTTGGATTTAGTTTCGTCTAAAGATGGCTGAAGGGCTTACTGCTCACATCTCTCACAAGCATTTCTAGAAACTCCTTTAATATATCTTCTTGATCATTTTCAAATCCTGTTCTAATGTTTCACTATGACTTTCCAGGCAATTAAAAGAATGGGGCTATAATGACAAACCACTCTCCTGGTGGAATACAAAAAATCAACGTAGCTGTACACTTGTAGGTGTGGTCTTTCTGCCAGGGAAATATAGGCCATTTTGCATTCCCATAGAATTTAATATGCTTGAATAATTGCAAAAGCAGTCGGATCTCAGTTATTCATATCATGAAGAACAACCCTAATTGAATTTTCCACTGACCAGCAGCCCCTGCTTACGAGAATCCATACCTGCTTCCACATACAGTTGCTATGGCTTTGAAGCAGCCAGATGCAAGTTGGTAGGAACCTGTGTAGCATCGGTCAATTGCCCAATTAAAAAGATTTATTTGGTCAGGATTAAGTTCCAAGAGTAAGACGACAACTTCACAGCCAAGTTGATGAACCTGAACACACAGAGGAAAGCAATTATTCATGTTTAATGAAATGTTATTCCAGGAAAAGACACAAAATCAAGCTTAGTCAATATTGAATGGGGTAAAATAAAAGTGAAGACTGAGCATTCATCTTGATTAATTTTTATTTCACATTTTCCTCTTTAAGAGGGAGTGATTGAAACTGAATACTGAAATGTATGAACTAAACGGGATCCTACATAAATTTGTCCTATAGGTCCACTCATTCTCGATCATATAATGCTGGAAAGGTGGTGAAGACTTTGTCTATATTTCTTCTTTGCATTTAAAATGTTTCTGAAAAAATATATGTGTTTGGCAAAAAAATTAAATATACAAAAGGAGAGCCTTTATGTATGCAGTCTTTTAAGAAAAAATCAGAGTGAGTATGTTTAGGAGGCTTGATTACTAAATATACTGTGTAAAGCTTAGCTGGCAATCTTTTAAAAAGAAATACAGTTATCAATAAACTCTTCATTATCAGAGACTTCCATATAAAATATCAGCATTGTAAAGAGAGTTAATAGGATACTTAATTGATTCCTGAAGCTACTGTCTTTTGTCCAGAAGATGACTGGTGCCTGGAGACTATATTCCCCTCCAAAAACATTTTCCTGTCTCCTCTGGAAGTTACAACAAGGTGGGGAAGGAAAGATTCTGGTTTTGGGGAGTGATATTCTAATTGGATGGTTAAACATGCTCAACCTAGTTTCTAAAAGGGCTTAAGATAAAAACTGATATGGCTTTAGTATGGCAAAGGACTTAAAGATAACATTTCAGTACAAAGTTAGACTTGAAAGAAAATCAGCAAGTTATTATTGTGCTTTGGAAGCTTGATATTGATGTACAAAATACATAGTATATGATTCACAAGTATATGATGAGTTATCTTAACTGAACACGATAGTGTGAGTACCACAAAGTAAAAACCACGGATTGCTAGCACCAGTAAAGCCTGCCTGTGCATTTTCTTAATCACTGGTCTCTTTCCCCTCCTCAGAAGCAACCACATCTTGACTTCCACCACCATTGGTTAGTTTGGGCTGTTTTGAACTCCATGTAAGTGAAATTATATAATATACAACTTTGTGTCCTGCTTTCTTTTACTCAACTGCTGTTTGAGAGTGACCTACATTAATTTATTCCCACTGTTGTATAGCATTCTAATTTATGATCACTCCTGAATTTAGAAACTGCTGGTTGTTGGTACACTGTGTTCAACTTTAGTAGATAATGCCAATCAGTTTTCCAAAATGGTATTTCCAGTTTATACTCTCTACGGCATAGAGAGTTCCCATTGCTCCATTTCCTCATTGACATTTGGTACTGACAATCTTTCCTTTTTTATGTTTTATTGGTGATATTTAACCTTTATACTTCCTTATTATTTTTAAAAATGTTCTTTTTCAATTACAGTTTACATTCAATATTATTTTGTATTAGTTTCAGGTATACAGCATAATGGTTAGCAATTATATAATTTACAAAGTGATCCCCCAGTATTTCAAGTACCCACCTGACACCATACATACATATTATAATATTGTTGACTATTTTTCCTGTGCTCTATTTTATATCCCATAATTATTTTGTAACTACCAATTTGTATTTCTTAATACCTTCACCTTTTCCACCCAGCCCTCCAACCCCCTCATTAGTTTGTTTTGTGTATCTATAAGTCTGTTTCTATTTTGTGTGTTTGTTTATTTTGTTCTTTAGATTCCACATATAAGTAAAGTCATATGGTATTTTTCTTTTTCTGTCTGACTTATTTCTCTTAGCATAATACCCTCTAGGCCCATCCATGCTGTCGCAAATGGTAACATTCCATTCTTTTTTATGGCCGAGTAATATTCCATTGGATGTATGTATCACAGCTTTTTGATCTATTTGTCTATTGATGAATCTTGACTATTGTAAATAATGCTGCATCTTTTTGAATACTGTTTTGGATTTCTTTAAATATATACCCAGTAGTGGAATTGCTGAGTCATAAGTGGTACTGCCAATCTTTTAAATTTCAGCCATACTGGTGGATAGCATCTCCTGTGGCTTTAGTTTGCATCTTTGTTACTACTGATGAGCTGGAAAATGTTTTCTCAAGTTTACTAACCATTTAGATAACCTATTTTGTACATAGCTTGTTTTAGTGTTTGGTCATTTTTCTAGGTGTCTTTATCTTATTTATTTGTAGGGGTTCTTACATATTTAGATTTAAGAACTGGTTTATGTTGCAAGTATCTTTCATGCTATGGCTAGTCTGTTCACACTCTTAATGGTGCCTTTTGGTGAACAGAAGTTATTAAATAGTCTTTCTTTATGGTTAGTAATTTTTGCATCTTGTTTAAGAAATCTTTCCATAATCTCAGGGAGTAAGATATCCTCCTTTCTTATTTTCTAGAAACTTTATTTCTTTTACCTTTCACATTTAGATTTGCCATCTAAGTTCTTTTTTTATTCCTGACACCTTATTTTTCTTTCCAAATGCAAGCATCTATAGTATAATGTTGACATAAGTGGTGACAGTCGGCTTCCTTGGTCATTTTAATCTCAGGAAACACTTTCAATATTCACTATCAAGTATTAATGTTTGCTACATGTTTGTTAAAGATACCTTTATCAAACCAAGAAAGTTCTTTTTTATTCTTGGTCTTATTAAGAGTTTCTCTCATGAATGAATGTAGAATTTTAAAAGTGCTTTTCTGCATCTATTGAGATGACTATATAATATTTCTTTCTTGAGACATTATTAATATAATTAACATACTAATGAATTGATGGACATTAAACCAATCTTGTAGGTTTGAATAATCACAACTTGGTCATGATGAATCATCTTTTTAATATATCACCAAATTCAGTTTACTAATAATTTGTTTAAAGGTTTTGTTTCTATGCTCATGAATGAAATTGCCTTTTAATATTATTTCTTGTTAAATCCTTGCCAGGTTTTAGTATCAAGGTTATGCTGGTCTGCTAAAACATGCTGGAATGTATTTCCTCTTGAGCTGTTTTCTCTAAAAGGATTTGTATCAAATCAATGCAATTTGTTTCTTAAATGTTGACTTCATCAGTAAAGCCATCTGTTCTAAAAGTTTTTTTTGTGTTTGTATTTTTTTTTGTGGGAAGTCCAATTACAGATTAAATTTCTTTATTACTTATATGACTCTTCAGATTTTCTTTTCTTCTCGTATTGTGTTTTTCTAGGAATTTGCCTCTTTTATCTAAATTTTCAAGTTTACAGGCACAAAGGTGTTCATATGTTCTCATTTATTTTAAATATTTGTAGCATCTGTAGTGATGCTCCTTTACATTTATGATGCTAATGACACATGCATTCTCTCTCTTTCTTGATCAGACTTGTCATGGATTTATTAATTTTTAAAAATATATATTTATTGATTTTTTACAGAGAAGAAGGGTGAGGGACAGAGAGTTAGAAACTTCGATGAGAGAGAAACATCGATCAGCTGCCTCCTGCACACCCCCTACTGGGTATGTGCCTGCAACCAAGGTATATACTCTTGACCAGAATTGAATCTGGGACCCTTCAGTTTGCAGGCCGATGCTCTATCCACTGAGCCAAACCAGTTAGGGCATGGATTTATTAATTTTATTGTTTTTTTTTAACAAATCCAACTTTTGGTTTAAATTAATTATTTCTCTTTCATTAATTTCTGCTCTTATCTTTATTCCTTCATTTTACTTGATTGAGCTTGATGTTATTATTTTTCCAACACCTTGAGATGGATGCTTAGGTCATTATTAGCCTTTTTTTCTATCTATTATATGCACTTAATACATTTCAGTCTAAGCAATACTTTATTTATGATCCACAAGTTTAGTATGTAGTGCTTTCATTATTCTTCAGTTAAAAATATTTTCCAGTCTTTCATTGATTCTTTGACTCACTGGTTATCTGGAACAGTGTGTCTTCAATATGTATTTATTATTGATCACTAGCATAATTCCACTGCGATTAGAGAACACAGTCTATGTCACTTCAATCATTTCAACTTTATGGAGACTTGCTTTATGGCATAGTTTATTGTCAATGTTGGTAAATGTTACTGTGATATTTATCTGGATGCATCACAGTGTATTGTGAACAACACTTAAACCTACATTCTGTGGTTGATGTGGGAAGAGACTGTGTTGTGAACAATGCTTAGACACTCAGTAACCTAGCTGAGGCAGAACACCCTATACATTGAACAAGTAAGTATCTTTAGCTAGTACTTACTCGTAAATCTTGACAAGCCAGAATGTTGTCAAGCCACTTATATAGGTAGCCATCTGGGGAAAGGCCCACGTTGTCAAACACGGGGCCGCAGCATAACACTGCTGACATTGCCTGATAACAAAACACAAAACACTGGGAATGAAACCTGGAATTGTCTAAAGGTATGCAACTGACTTTATAAAACATAACTACCAGAATTATAAATGATAAAGGTCTTAGCAGTTATTTCCAAGATCTTAAAGTATTCCTTAGTATAGTCAATAAAAAGTACCAGATTCCCAATGGGCTCATTTTAGAAGAGCTAAACTCATAAATTTAACTTCATGAAAATGTATTTTATGATTATAATAAGTGTTTATCATGAAATAGTAAAACATTCAAAGCAAAATGCTATGTCACAGTTTTGAAAATAAACTTACCTTAAGTGATTTCAAGTGAATTAATTCTGTTTAGAAGATAGAGCTTTTAAACTTTTGCTTTGATGACAAATATTTGACTATGTGCTGAATTGACAAACTTGACAAATATTTGACTAATGTACTAAATTGACAAACTATGAAAAACATGGAGATAATTGTGATTCTTAATCAAAGATAAAGAAAATGAAAAAATATACACTTCAGTTCCTTTGAGGCTGGGGGGAGGAAGCAAGTCCAGGTGACTATCAGGGCCATGGTTTAAATTAGCTCCATTGAGACAAGAGTCAACCTGAAAGTCAGCAATTTCTGCTATACATGACAGTTGAAATTAGACTAGGAATCATGCTTCTGAAATTTTTGAACAGTCCTAGTAGTGTGGAAATTTATTTCTGGGAATCTTCTAGGATAAGAGACTAAATCTTCTAGGATAATAGACTAAAAAGGGAAATGGCAGATTTTGAACTTGAGGTAATATATATATCAGGCCCAGTGTATGAAAATTCTGTACTGGAGGGGGTCCCTCAGCCCGGCCTGCCCCCTCTCACAGTCCAGGAGCCCTCAGGGGATGTCCTACTGATGGCTTAGGCCCTCCACCCACGGGGAGTGGGCCTAAGTTGTGGTCTGGCCTCCCTCTGTGGGAGGCAACCGGGCTGATCAGGGGAAGGTGCCGCCCCCATCACCCCGCTGCTGTTGCCACTGCCAGCTGCAGTGGCTGTGATCCCCGGGCCTCTCACCCGCCGGAGCTCATGGGCCTCGCAGGCGCCAGGGCTCAAGGCTGCCTGAGCCCCGGGCCTCACAGCGCCAGGGCTCACAGCTTCCTGAGCTCACGGCTACTGTGAGCCCACAGCTGCTGTGAGCCCTGGACATCACAGCCACCGGGGCTCACGACTGCCATGAGCCACAGGCCTCGCAGCCGCTGTGGCTTTGTCTGGATGGACGTCTGGAAGATGTCTGCCCTAATTAGCATATTACCCTTTTATTAGTATAGATATATTCACACACATATATAGGATGCCCCCAAAAATGTATGCACACTTTAATAGCTGATGGCTCAATTTTCAAAATGAAATGTATTTTAATAAAGACTGCCTTTATAATTATTCAAAGTGTATGTATACTTTTTTGGGGGCACACCATACACACACACACACATACACACACACACACACCCCTCATTATAATCTATGGATTTTTTCTTAGGTTGGAAGTTTATTGGCAAGGCAGCTACTTGAAGAGTTTATCTCCTATGAAAAAACATGTGGTTCTATGGGAAAAAAAAGAGAACCTATGTAATACTTTCAACAATAAAGATTAAAGAAAATTATTTAAAACTAAAACAAAACAAAAAACCATGTGGTTCTTATATAGAAGACACAATGACTAAAGTGGAAGCTTGGATAAGTTTTGCACTTAGAAATTATGAGGCCAATTGGAATAGTTGCATATCTATACACAACTATCAATCTATTTTATGTGTGTACATTTTGGAATTTTTAAAGTCAGCTTATGTATTTATGTGTGTATTTATTTGACTTTTTTTGCAAGTGTACTTAGATTATGTCATATCATATGAAATCATATTATTTATTTTAACCTAATTTAAGGCATGGTTATTAGTTTAATGAAAGAAACTATGGATCTCACAAGAATCATCATGAGGCAAAGGTGACCTACCTTTAAGGCACAATACTGGTATCTTGTGATCTGATGGTTCCTGTCACTGTATCGATCCAGGGGTGTGAACATAATGCTGAAGGGCCCTGCCCACTGGCTGAACAAGATGAAAAGATGGTGCCTCAGGCTTTGCTGGGGGAAGAGAAATCTCCTGTGGTGAACTAGAGAGAAAAATGCAGTTAACAGTCTCTGAGAACAAAAAATATAGTGAATACAATTTATGTTACTATTATACAGCAGTTTTAAATTTTAGAGAAAGGATTAATTTCATTTCCCAACTCCAGTTTTCTTTAGGTAATAAAAAGTGTTTAAAAAGTTAAGCAGAATTTTCTTTCTAAGTGTGCATCCTTCCTCACTAGCACCTTGTCAGAGCAGGAAGCAGAGACAAAAGATGACTCACATACTGTTTTCTATTCAATATCTAGAGAACCTTCCAATCAGCTGCTTACATAGATGATGTTCCTTTGACTGCTGCCAGTCTTTAGGAAAAACTATGAAGTATAATGTCTAGAGAATTTAAACAAATATACTTTAGCTGAAGAGGCCAGCTCACATCTTACTTTAGAGTCATCAAAATGAGGAGGATTGGTTATATAACATCAAAGTTACAAAAAAGTAGAAATAGTTGAGTGCAGCTTTTTGTAATTATGTCAAGTGCTTTTAATGACAGTCAGTCATTCATTTTTACACTGAATTGGCCTTGTAGTATAGTTTAGATATCAGATAGCATGATTTCTTCAACTTTGTTCTTGTTCCTCAAGATTTCTGTGGCTATTCAGGGTCTTTTGTGGTTCCATATAAATTTTTGAAATATTGGTTCCAATTTTGTAAAATATTCCATTAGTAACTTGATAGGAATTGCGTGGAGTCTATAGATTGCTTTGGGTAGTATGGACATTTTAATGATGTTACTTCTTCCAAACCATCAGCATGGTATATAGTTCCACTTATTTGTATCTTCTTTACTTTCATTCTTCAGTGTCTTATAATTTTTGGAGTACAAGTTTTACATCCTTGGTTAAATTTATTCCTAGGTTGTTGTTTTTTTTAATGCAATTGTAAATGGGATTGTTTTATTAGTTTTCCTTCCTGATAGTTCATTATTGGTGTATAGAAATGTCACCGATTTCTGGATGTTTATTTTGTATCCTGCTATTTTACTGAACTAATTTATCAGTTCTAATAGTTTTTTGGTGGAATCTTTAGGGTTCTTTTTATAAAGTATCATGTCATATGCAAATAATGACAGTTTTACTTCTTCTTTTCCAATTTGGATGCCTTTTATTTCTTCCTCTTGTCTGACTGTAGCTGTGGCTAGGATATCCAGTACTATGTTGACTAAGAGTGGTGAAAGTGGACATTCCTATCTCATTCTCAGCCTTAAGGGAAACATTTTTGTTTTTTCCATTGAATTTTATATTGGCTGTAGGTTTTTCCTATATACCCTTTATTATGTTGAAGTATGTTCCCTCTATTTCCATGTTGCTGAGAGTTTTTATTATAAACTAGAGGCCTGGTGCATGAAAATTTGTGCATTTGGAGATTGGGGTTCCCTCAGCCCATCCTGTGCCCTCTTGCAGTCCAGGACCCTTGGGGGATGTCGACTGCTGGCTTAGGCCCACTCCCCGGGGGATTGGGCCTAAGCCGGCAGTCAGACATCCCTCTGGCAGTCTGGAAGCCCTCAGGGGATGTCCGACTAACAGCTTAGGCCCACTCCCCCCGGACATCCTTAGTGCTGCCACGGAAGCGGGAGAGGCTCCCGCCACCACTGCTGCGCTGGCCAGCTATGAGCCGGCTTTTGGCTGAGTGGCGCTCCCCCTGTGGAAGCGCACTGACCACCAGGGGGCAGCTCCTGCATTGAGCATCTTCCCCCTGGTGGTCAGTGCTCATCATAGTGACTGGTCATTCCGCCATTAGGGTCAATCTGCGTATTACCCTTTTATTATATAGGTTGGGTGCTGGATTTTATTAAATGCTTTATTCTGCATCTATTGATACAATCATGTGGTTTTTATCCTTCATTTTGTTTATGTGGTATATCACATTTATTGATTTGCGGATATTGTTACCAACCATGAATCCTAGGAATAAATCCCACTTGATCACGGTGTATGATGTTTTCAATGTATTGATGGATCCGGTTTGCTAATATTTTGTTGAGGATTTTAGCATCTATGTTCATCAAGGATATTGACTTATAATTTTCTTTCTTCGTAGTGTCTTTATCTGGTTTTGGAATTAGGATAATGCTGGCCTCATAAAATAAGCTTGGGAGTCTTCCCTCCTCTTGAATTTCTTGGAATATTTAAAAAAGAATAGCTGTTAGTTCTTCATTGAATGTTTGATAAAATTCTCCTGTGAAGCCATCTGGTCCATGTCTTGTTTGTCAGGAGTTTTTTGACTACTGCTTCAATTCTACTAATTATAATCTGTCTATTCAGATTCTCTGAGTCTTCCTGATTCAGTTTTGGAAGATTGTATATTTCTAGGAATTTATCCATTTTGTCCCAATTGTCCAATTTGTTAGCATACAGTTTTTCCTAATATTTTCTTACAATACTTTGTATTTCTGTGGAGTCACTTGTTACTTCTCCTCTTTCATGTCTGATTTTATTTATTAGGATCCTCTCTCTTTTCTTCTTCATGAGTGTGGTTAAAGGTTTATCAATCTTGTTTACCTTTTCAAAGACGCAACTCTTGGTTTCATTGATCTTTTGTATTGTTTTTTTAAGTCTCTGTCATTTATTTCTGCTCTGATCTTTATTATTTCCATCCTTCTACTCACTTTGGAGTTTGGTTTTTTTTCTAGTTCCTTTAAGTGTAAAGTTAGATTGTTTACTTGAGATTTTTCTTGTTTCTTAAGCCCATAATGCTAGGAATTTCTCTCTTAGAACTGCTTTTGCTGTATACAATAGATTTTGGGTTGTTGTGTTCTCATTTTCATTTGTTTTAAGGGATCTTTTTATTTCTTCTTTGATCTCATTATTGATCCATTCATTGTTTTGTAACATGTTACTTAGCTCCATGTGTTTGTGTGTTTTTCAGTTGTTTTCTTGTGATTGATTTCTGGTTTCATAGCATTATGGCCAGAGAAGATGCTTAACATGGTTTCAACCTTCTTAAATTTATTGAGACTTGTTTTTGTCTAACATGTAGTCTATCTTAGAAAATGTGCCATGTGCACTTGAAACAAATGTATATTCTGCTGCCTTGGGGTGAAATGCTCTGAAGATATCAATTAAATCCATCTGATCTAGTGTGTCACTTAAGGCCACTGTTTCCTTGTTGATTTTCTGTCTGGAAGATCTATCCATTGGTGTTAATGTGATATTAAAGTCCCCTACTATGACTATATTATTGTCTATCTCTCCCTTTATGTCTATCAAGATTTGTTTTATATATTTAGGTGTTCCTATGTTGGGTGCATAAATATTTACAAGGGTTATATCATCTTGTTGGATTGCTCTCTTTATCATTATGAATTGTCCTTCTTTTGCTCTTACTGTAGCCTTTGTTTTAAAGTCTATTTTGTCATATATAAGTATTGCTACTCCAGTTCATTGTTCATTTCTATTTGTATGAAATACCTTTTTCTATCCCTTCACCTTTACTCGGTGTATATCTTTCATTCTGTGGTGGGTCTCTTGCAGAGAATATATATATCTTATTTTCTTATCTATTCAGCCACCCTATGTCTTTTGATTGAAGCATTTAATCCATTTATATTTATAGTGATTATTAATAGATACATATTTAATGCCATTTTACTCTTTTAATTTATATGCCTTTGTGGTTTTTTCCCCTCCTGTTCCTGTTCCTCCTCCTTCTTAAAGAAGGACCTTTAACACTTCTTTCTTTCTTTCTTTTTTTTTGATTCAGAGGAATCTGCCTGTCATTTTTTTTTAAACATTTCTTATTATACTGAGTAGGTGGTAATGAACTCCTTTAGCTTTTTTTCCCCTCTGAGAAGCTCTTTATTTCTTCTTCAATTTTAAATGATAGTCTTGCTGGGTAAATTAGGTCCTTGCTTTTTTTCTCTTTGAATATTTCATGGCAATTCCTTCTGGCCTGAAATGTTTCTGTTGAGAAATCAGATGATAGTCTTATGGGAGCTCCCTTGTAGGTAACTGACTACCTTTCTCTTGCTGTTTTTAAGATTTTGGTAGATTGCTTGCCTCCATTTCATTTAACTTTATTTCTGCAGATTTCTTGTGTTCTTTCATTTGGGGCATATTCTCTTTCCATTTTGGCTGCCTCTTTGTGTTTATTTTTATGTATTACGTAGGTATGCTTTAACTCCCAGTCTTGCTGGGGTGGCCTTATGTAGTAGATGTCCTGTGGGACCCCATGGCAAAATGTCCTTGATCACCTGTGCTGAGTGCTCCTGGAATATGCCTTGTAGGACTTTCTGTTGTAATTGAATCTTAGTTGCTATTGGCCTGTTTGTGTGTGGATTGACCATTAGGCTGGCTGACTGTGAGGATCAATTCCAACCACAGTGAATGAGCTGCTGTACAGGTGCTGACCACACAAAGTAGAATTCACCTCAGCAGGGTCTGGTGCATGTCAAAATCTTCCTTTGGATGTGCCACTTGTGAAGCTATTTGGATCCTGCTGTGATGATGTCTGAATATCACCAGTGGGTATGTTGGTTCTAGGTCTCCTTGGATGGGAATCTGGTGCAGGTCAATGTCAGACGCTGCTTGTGACTGGCTCTGGACAACCTGTTTGAAGCTACAAAGTGGTCCACAATTTGTGGCTGCCTCTGCTGGGCCTGGGTGTGCATGGAAAGGATCAAGCTGCACACTAACGCTTGCTTTTACCAACCTTGGGCCAGGGAGCAAGTCTTCAAAAGTCCCAAGGAAACCTGAAGTCTGCCTCTGCCTGCCTCCACCTGCTGGCTGCCTGTTAGGCTCAGTCACTGAAAGAACCTTTTGTGGTACTCAAGTTGCATGTGATAGGTTCCCAGTGAGTCACTAGGTAGGGGAGAGAGGTGTTTACCAGATCTACATAGGTTCCAACTCAGTGCCAGTGGTGGGCCTAAGGCCACTAAGCAAATCAAATGTCCCAGTAATACCAAGTCTAGCTGCCACCTGCTGGGTGCTTGCACACCTTTGTGGTGGGTCAGGGTCTCGGGGAGTTGTTAGGATGAGGCCAGCAGAGTTTATCAGGCCCAAGAGATCAAGATTTGGCTTTGTGAAGGGAAGATCTTGCACCAGTTGGGCGTGTGAGGGGAAAATTTCCCCTTTCCCAGAGCGACACAACTCAGTCTGTCCAGATTCTGCCCAGATCTCAGCAGGGTGGAGTCACCTAAAGTTGAGAGGCTGGGGCTGTCAGGTGCTAGGAGAGTGGGGCTAGTAGATCTCCCTTGAGGGGGAGGTGCTAGTCAGGTTCACGGGAAAGTTGGGGGAATTGCCCCCTCCCCAAAGTCACACAACTCAGTCACTGACACTATCTGCATTGACCCAGACCTCTACACCCTGGCCCAGGCATTTGACTTCTCTTCAGGGTGGAAGCTCTGTAGAGTGGGTTGACAGGGAGTCCAGAGTGTGGGGCTATTGCATTCACCCAACCTGATGCTGTCTGGAAGGGTGTGCTCCACCCAAGAAAGACGGTATCTGCTGTGCAGTACAGTGACTGAGCACAAATATTTAATGAAATAAATATTTGAAATGTATAATTAAAAAAAAATTTACTTAAATGGACTAAATGCTCTAATCAAAATAAATAGGGTAGAAGAATGGGTAAGAAAATAAGACCCATATATATGCTGTCTATAGGAAAACTATTTCAGATAGAAAGACACACAGATTGAAAGTAAAGGGATGAAAAAATATATTTCATGCAAAGGGAAACAAATAAAAGAAAGCTGGTGTATATTTCTACCAGACAAAACAGACTTTAAAACATGTTCACAGATTAGCACAAGAATGAACAAAAATGAAGCACCTGTGAGTGTCCCCTCTGAATTCCTTCCTTGTTATGGAAGTCACTTAGGTTCATTTTCACATGGAAACCAAAATGAAGAATAGAAATAATGACAAATACAAAGCAAAGCTTAATTCCTATTGTTCCCTTTCCAACTCTGTGCTGAATTACCACAACCTATCCTCATGTACATTTCCAAGTATTTCAAGACAAATAGACAATCCCACCCAGACCTGCACACAAGCCAGGAGGATTAGAGGGAAGCACTGTCCTGAGGAACAAAAGGTTTTTCAAGCATAAAGGTAAGTACTGTGCAGTGATGCATCACTGTACCTGGAACACATTGAATCAAGTTGGCGACCATGGCACTAAAATGTGCCCGGATATCTTTAAGAATTTCAACTTCTTTATCATTTTCAGCTTCTAGCAGCATGCGGGTCAGGTCCACATACTCTAGGAACAAAGCTCCAAGGGCTAAAGTATCCCGTTCTAAGGCTCCATTTGTGCTGTAATAAAGAAAAATGGAACTTTTAGATGCTCATTCTTCATTTCAAAGTGGTATATGCTTCATGGAAAATAAGATCCACTGTCAGAACTGACACACTACATTTGTTCTTGACCTATATGCAGCGTAAACAGATTAAGAACCCCCACAAGATTTTTGGACTTTTTCTGAGTAAAAGTTAAAGGTATTATATTTTTAAAAAGAAAGGAAATACAAAGAGACAAAAGTAGACCAGTGTGGTAAGCAGAGATCAACTTGGGGAAATCTTCATCCTACCTGTCACTTATTACACCAGCATCAGCCAGAAGTTCAAAAATTCGAAGTAACTGTAGTCTTAACAAGTCCCGCCGTTCTCGGCGTTTTTTGTTCTGTACAGAAAGAGGTGATACCACTTATAGACATGAACAAGGCAATATGAGCTTTGCTTTAGGAAACTGGGATAAAGAAAGGCCTAACCTAGTCCTTTTCGATTTTCTAAACATAAAAGACAATGTATTTTCCTTTCTTCCTAATCCTTAGAGACAATGTTTGCTTTTATAGGTTGTAAGAGAAAGATCATCGGGGGGGTGGGGGTTGGTAAGTATTTATATGGTGGAAATGTTCAGAACAAGCCTCAATTCCCAGATGCTCCAAGCATGTGTGGAAAGACTGGAGCATCTTAAATCAAGTGGAAAAGAAGAGAGGACACTAATACTCCCGCCAATCTGACCATGGAGCTCACATGTTCTTACTCAAACGGCTCAATTTTTGTTACTTCTTGCTTGATTCTTACTACTATATGGGAAGCTCATTTTAAATTTTTTTAAAAATATATTTTATTGATTTTTTACAGAGAGGAAGGGAGAGAGATAGATTGTTAGAAACATCGATGAGAGAGAAACATCGATCAACTGCCTCCTGCACATCTCCCACTGGGGATGTGCCCGCAACCCAGGTACATGCCCTTGACCGGAATCGAACCTGGGACCTTTCAGTCCGCAGGCTGACGGGGAAGCTCATTTTAGTCTACTTTTACATTTTATTTTTTATCCTGCTACATTATAAGTTTATACTTTTCAGAGTTCACTTTGGGGAAGATAATGATGGGGAAAATGCTTCATATGCCAGACGAAACAAGTAATATTTGTGACTATTTAACCCCTTGTGAAAAACAAGCAAACAAACTAAAAACCAAAATTCAATAAACTCAAACCTCTTTCAAATAAATGTGATATCTTCACATATATATGACTACTTAGGTTGTTTTGCTTTTAGAAATATAGGACATAAAATCTTTTAAAGTAGGAACCATATTATACTAAGTATTAAAATATTGAAAAAATGAAAATAACAAAAGCTAAAATGTTAAGATTCAATATTAAAAGCATGCCGGGGAAACCATTGGGTATATTTAAATTCATACAACTGTCCAAATACAGCAAGTATCTTAATGATTTAAATTCAAAATCTTACCTCGGGTCTTCGTTCCAGAGCTTCTTTCATTAATGGATGAAGTTCTTCTACCAATTCTCTACAGAGGAAGAAGGTAAGCATTTGAAATATATTATTATTATTGACACCAAACTTGTCACCAAACATATCCATTCAATCCTAAATCATTTGGTTTTTCCACTTTGCATCTGACATCAAAATCTCCCCTGGCCTTCCCATTTCCCAGTCACATGGTGAACTGTAATTAGGTACTGGCCTATACTTTGTATTATTGGTATTAATCCCAGTGCTGTGTATATAATTTTGGCTCAATTCATGTATTGACTTGGTTTTGATTTAATGTCTGAACAATTAAACAATACAGTAGGTCCTCGGGTTACGTCGGAGATCCGTTCCTACGGCGCAACTTAATGCGATTTTCGCTGTAAGGCGGAACCCACCTACATAAGCACCTACGTCACTCACATGGAGCACATACACAGCAGGAATGAAGTGAAACAGTAAAAAAAAATTAAAAGAAAGATAACAATTCCTGACCTTTACTTGTGGTAAATAAATAATAAAAAACATAAAGCACCTATGCACATATGTCGAAATGATGGAACTTTTTTTTTTTTATAAATAAATGGGAGATGGCGACATAACCATGAAATGACTTAAGTTGAGTCTGATGTAACCTGAGGACTGTCTGTATTTTGCAAGTACTTCCTAAATTCAAAGCACTTTACTACAGACTGTGGACTTGAAGATAAGTGAAATTGAGTCTCTGCACAGAAATTTTCAGTCTAATTAGAGCATAAGAGATAGGTGCAGTACTATAGCACTGCCTTTGGGATCTGTGCTCAGGGAATGACTGATAGTTGATTCTGACATGAAGTTTTTTTGGAATTTCAGAGATAAATTCCTTTATTTAAACTATATGACAAATATAAATATGGCAAGTACTATAGTAGTGAGGTTCTCATAAAAACCTTACCTCTTACGTAGTAAAAATAAAAGTTTGATCATGTTAATATATATCTCATATTACATGTACATACTTCACCTGTCCCCATTATCTAGCCTGATGGTAGGTATTTTGTTTATAATCCACTCCATGTCTAAAAACCTTGTATTTTCTGGTAGAATATTTTGTGCTAATAGAAATTTCCCTCCAGGGAAATCCAGGGACAGGAAGGTAAACTCTATCTAATTCTTCACCGAGACATAGAAAGCCTGCATTTCATTCCAGATTTTTCCACTATAGATGCTAGAATTTTTTTCACCAAAGACATGGAAATAATATTAATGGTCTCTTCCATCTAATAGCAGACATTAACCAAATATTTACTATGTGCATTTTTATATTTAACTCAATAAATCTGAGATAGATCCTATAATTATATCAAATCTATATGGTTAGTAAGTTGCATAAGTTACTTCCCCCGAGGAACACTAAGAGGATGAGATATGCAAAAGAAAGCCTCAGGTTCTTTGGGGAAAATGTTCAGAAATTTCAGGAATTGTTCTTATAGTATTCCCACATGATGCTTTTTTAGTTTTAATAAATAAGTAGTAAAACTTGAATTAACTGGCATCCAAGTAGTCAGAACTCACAATTACTTTTTAAAAAAATATATATTTTATTGATTTTTTACAGAGAGGAGGGTAGAGGGATAGAGAGCTAGAAACATCGATGAGAGAGAAACATCGATCAGCTGCCTCCTGCACACTCCCTACTGGGTATGTGCCCGCAACCAAGGTACATGCCCTTGACTGGAATTGAACCTGGGACCCTTGAGTACGCAGGCCGATGCTCTATCCTCTGAGCCAAACTGGTTAGGGCACAATTACTTTTTTTAAATTTGTTTAAAAAAATTCTTTATTGTTTAAAGTATTACATATAGTATTACATATGTCTCCTTTTTCCCCTATTGACCTCTCCCTGGCCATCCCACCCCCAGCACATGCCCTCACCCCACTAGTGTCTGTGTCCATTGGTTATGCTTACTAGTACATACATGCATACAAGTCCTTTGGTTGATCTCTTACCCCTCCACCCAACCCCTCCCGTGGCTTCCCTCTGAAGTTTGACTGTTTTTTCGATGATTCCTTGTCTCTAGATCTAGTTTTGTTCATCAGTTTTTGTTGTTCATTATATTCCACTCACAATTACTTTTTTTTTAAAATATATTTTATTAATTGTTTACAGAGAGGAAGGGAGAGAGATAGAGAGTTAGAAACATCGATGAGAGAGAAACATCGATCAGCTGCCTCCTGCACATCTCCTACTGGGGATGTGCCCGAAAGCCAGGTACATGCCCTTGACCGGAATCGAACCTGGGACCTTTCAGTCCGCAGGCCGACGCTCTATCCACTGAGCCAAACCGGTTTCGGCTCACAATTACTTTTTATAAGGATAAAATCTGACTCTCTACATGAATAATGTAACTGATCTTTTTCAGTTGCCTCTAAGATATCTCATTAATCTTTATTTTTCAAATAGGGTCTTTCAGATGCTTGGAGCGTTCCCTTTTGTATCTGTGTGAAACTTATACAATTTAATTTGTCCTAGTAGGCTTTCCTGCTTAGCTAAAGTCATCAGAGGCAGCCCGAATATAACGTTTTATGGTGACTCTTTCAAAGGCTTGGCACTGCCTCAGATGGAATGGTTATTTAATTAAAGCTGTGAAATGACTAAGTAATCTAGAAAGTGAGATATGATGGTTCTATAAAGGCAGATAAAGCACTTTATAGAAATGTCCACTAGTGTAACAGGTGGTCCCTCAGAGAGTTCTACCAATGCTTCACCTTTGAGAGTGCTGCATTATTGGCAGACACTCCTTATTGTGACCTTAAAGCCTCTGGACAGTCTGGTTACCTGGGCATTGACAGGGAAATTCTTTTTAGTTATCTAAAACAAAGCTTGTAAGTGAGATAAAATCTGAGAGGTAAAGTCAAAGTTGCAATGACAAAAAGTGAAACATGAGACAGCTGCAAGCAAGGGTTGTTTCATGCACATCAGCCAGGACACAGGAAACAGCGCCAAGCCAGAAACTGCAGGTACTCGCCAATAGCAAACTCAGACTTGTGTTACAAACAGGAACCACGACAGCAGCAGCATGTATGAATTTACAACTTATTAAGACTACTGTACCTGAAAACAAGAGAATTTGTTCTTCCAAATCCTAAAACTAAGGACTCTGTGATTTCAATGCCCTCTAGTCTCATCAAAGGCACCAACTGCTTTAACAAAACTCCCACCGATGGGGTGCCCATGGCCTGAAACAAGTTAATTAAAAGAGAAAAAAGAGGTCACATGGGAACAGATGCTTCCTTTAATCAAACGGTGACTCCATTATAACAGTTTCAAAGTCTGAACCACTTCCCAAAGCACTGCCATCATTTCAGGAAAAATAAAACAACCCATACATTTGATATAGCACAATTAATGCATTTTTCATCTGAGACACAAGTTAAAGAACCTTTAAATTATAATAGTCTTCTTAAAAAAAACCCCAACAAATTAAATCTACAAAACTTATCATTAACAATATAATTTAATCAAGGCACGGTTTAAAGGTAAAGACTTGGTGTGGAGTGACAGACATGTGGTATGTAGGACACGAATCAAACCTTAGGGCACTAATAAATACAAGTCCCAATGTTTTAAGAAAGTTTGCTCACTTCTCTTTATCTTCTACTGTCCACTTGTCAGGCAGAAATTATAAATTATGCACATAAACACTCAGTGGAATTTAGAAATGGTCAGGGTGAAAATCTCATTCTCTATACTCCAGATGGCAGGCACAGTACAATTTGCACTGTGAACTCTAGACAAACAAGCTAAAAAAACCCTTACAGAATAATTCTTCTGAAGCATGTCATGTCACCTTGTTATCGTAGCTCACTGTACCATCAGGCGTGGTCGCCATTATTTCTGGAGTCGAAGCTCTTAAGTGTCCCGGGCTCATGATACTGGGTTTTGCAACTCCAAAGCAAAGAATGAGGTAGTTTCTCCACAAGGTCACATAGTTGTCTCCGCTGCCAGCAGTGCTGGTTTTCTTGGCATTAATTGGGCTACTAGAAATATGGAGAAGTGAGCACTAGTTCAGGATTTTAAATATCATTTATTGAATAATGATCCTACAAAGTGCTCAAAGAGAGTTGAACAGCTATCTGTCAAGGATTGTGTGGACAGGGAAGGTCACTACTGGATGGGAAGTTGTATAAACTTTCATAACATTTTCACCAGTAAGGTCTGAGATTCTGTACTTAGACATTCATATTGATTATTATGAAAAGCAACAACAATAACAACAAAACTAGCTCTAGATGAGAACTTTGAACCGAATTTTTATTCAATGTTAAGAATTCTATATTAGGAAGTTCAGAATCTAGAGAGGATTATAATATCTTAATCTCTTATATGAAATGAAAATGTAAGAGGGAAAATGGTCACAAGCAAAACAGAGGAAAGCACATAGATCCCTTACTTGGGGTCCACCAGAGGCATGACTGACTGGAGCCGAGTGAAGGCATAGGGCCAGGCATAGCTGAGGGCCGTGGGACAATGCTTGGGCAAGTTCTCCTGCCGCAGGAAACTGAACAGACAGAGGACCCAGGGGTCTTTGACAGACTGAGCGAATATCCAGACGTGGGATGGGCTCTTCACATCATAATGGCTGTTGACCAGGACCGCATTCCACTCTACCAACCACTGAAGATCCACACTGTGGGTCAGTGGTAAGGTGGCCTGCAGGTGCAAGAAGGCAATGAATCAACACCATACTGTAAACTCCACATCCTCATCATAGCTTTTCCTGACCACCTCTGTAACTGGCCATGCGGTGACTCTGAAACCTCCTCCTACCCCTACCATATAGGATTTGGTTTGTAGTCATCACTGTTTCCCAGGCTAGATGACAAGCAACTGAAGTACAGAGGTTAAGGACAGGGGTTGTACTTCATATAGTTTTAATGTCATATAACACTGTGCATTGGTAAGCAGATGCTGCTCACTAAATATTTGTTGAACAAAGACATGACATTAGTTAATTCAAACTAGACCAAAGATTTGCCATTTTAAAATTCTGAAAAGTTATTAATCTCTGAGATTCATAAATGTGCATTTAATACCTATAATTAGAATATATATTTATATATTCTAATATATAAATAATGATAATGACTTAGGGAGATGGCTGAGTTTAATTCCTTTTATGAAAGGTATTTTATTGATGATTTTTAAGGTAAAATACCTATATAGTCTTGTCCTATGCTATCAAGCCAAACTAATAAATTCTAGAACCTTTTGAAAGATATCTAATCACATAAGTTCTTATTCATTTTCTTTTAAGCCCAGAAATCAAAATTTATAGAAGACCAAGTTTCAAATAATGTAGCTGTTGTGCCAGGAGAGAAAATTGCCTTCATTTTTGTTAGGCATTTAACACAATCCATGTTCTCTGCCGGGTCTAGGAGTTCCTGTGGGTCAGAGCACCCCACTAGTGGCCTCGATGGTTAATGCACCAGAGAGAAGAGATTCCAGCCCAGACTCTGCCCAAAGCCTGCGACCAGAAAACCCCAGACATCCCAGAGTGCTTCATTTATGACTTGGGGATTATAATGCTGCTCTCACTCTACCTTTACGTGAATGGGAGGTAAGAAGACCGGCACAGAGCAGGTACTGCTTGCCCCATCTCCCCTCCCGCGCATCTACCTAAGTGCAGAGTTGCTGACCTAATTACCCTGGCTCAAGGTTTTGATTCTGATAAACACAGAACAAAATCACATCAGCAAAATATAACCTGCAGGGAAATAAAATCTGTGTATAAAAACAATAAAACTTGACTCTTCCATTCCATGTTCAAACAATTTGAATTTCTAAAAGACACAGTAGATATGAACTACATGGCTAACAGTTTTAGTATTATCATTATTATCACAACCATAGCAAGAACAAGGCTACTAAAACATATAGATCTGTGTTGAATTTCTGTTGGAAAAGGCCACATAAAGCTCACAAGTATTGTTAGGTTTTCTAGTCACTCATAGCTATTTGTCAATTATGTTTGTATTCATTTATAGTTATTTGACAAGAATATATGAGGGACATTGGCAGTGTGGATTCTGCATGCGTTTGGGATGTGTCCTGCTCTCTTCAGCTTTGGAGCTGAAATTAGTCCAGGTTCCATGACTGCACTGTACTGATTTTTTAAAAAACCAGATAATTAAAATCTATTTCAATCTATTTTCTACTTACTCGTGAAAACTGAAGCTGCTAATATGCACTTTATAAGGGAGAATATGTTTGTGTCAGAGTCAGAGTTCAATTAGGGTCAAGTCCGGGCCCTATCACTTCCTTCTGTGTGACTATGGCCCTGTGCCTCTTAATGTTTTTGAGTTTTGATACCTATCAGGGTCAAAATGATAATAAATGTGAAAGCACCTTATAAACTGTAAAGCACCTTTAAATATAAGGTACATATAGTGTGAAGTACAATAAATAATGTGAATTCATTTTCTTAAAGAAGCCTGAGCAATTCTTCTTGAAATTGCAGTTTTCAAAATATTATTTATATACCTAAGGCTCAAATTTTATTTGAAATTATCTGAATGTCTCCTGAACCAGTATTTGAAAATCCTGCCTTGTTTTCCTAAGTACTTTTTTCTTGTTTTGTTAATTCTCACCTGAGGATATTTCCTCCATTGATTTTTAGAGAGTGGAAGGGAGAGAGGGGGAGAGAGAGCGAAACATCGATGTAAGAGAGACACATCATCGATGGGTTGCCTCCCACACATACCCAGACTGGGCTGGGGATCAAACCTGTAACCCAGGTCTGTGCCATTGACCAGGAAGCACACCTGCTACCCTTCAGTACACAGGTCGATTCTCTAACCACTGACCTACACTGGCGAGAGCTTCCTAAGTACTTTTGCATCAGTTTATTAACCTGACATAAAACCCCTGAATTCTTCCATATCATTTTCTTTGTCTCTCTTTTGTCAGACATGTCCACATCTTATACTTAAAATAATTAGCAATAATAGTCAAATATGTACTTACTGAGTCCGAAACTGCTACATGAATAAAACTTTCAAGAATGGAAGAACTTAGCTGATCCATGACATCAATCATAGGCCTGTCGTCATCCTATACAAAGGAGAGGTGGTTATTCTCCATGGGAAAATGGATCCTTCCCATCCAGCCCACTCCCTTTGTCTAGAACATGAAAGCAGAACAGTGTGCAAGACAATGATAAGGGTTTTCTCACAGAAAACTGAGTGTCAAGATGGTGAATGGCAGTGGATAAAACTCTCTATGCTTCTGAGTTGAGTCTTTCAAGTTTCAGTGGAAGGTAATTAGAACTCCCATTTCACATTGCACTGAGAAGACATGCACCTGAATTTCAAAAATTCATACATGTGCACAAGAATCTAAATACTGTACCAGATGTTATTCACTGAAGCACTGGTGTCATTAATGTTAAGGACTGGAAACCCCACAAAAATGTGCTTTGCCTGATCTCTAAAATGCTACTTACCGAAGTCACTGATCTGCTAAAATAACTGATAAATTGTTGACTGTGACTGAATTTAGTCCTAAAGAAAGGGCACTGGAGACTAACCACATACTCGCTATGGTAACTATGTAGTGTATAGCTATTTGGTAAAAGAAGCAAATTGGAATGGGCATAAGAAAAAAGTATCACAATTGTATACTTTACAATGTGGTCCCCTGACATTTCAAGTACCCACCTGGCACCATACATAGTTATTACAATATAATTGACTACATTCCCTATACTGTACTTTACATCCCCATGACTATTTTGTAACTGCTAATTTGTACTTCTCAATCCCTTCTTCTAAGTGAATGAATGTGTATGTTTGCTATTCTTTATTATAGAGAAGCTCAGATACATAAAATTGTTTACTTAGAAGCCTTATAGGAAAACTTTGTAATATCTTTGTTCATGTATGAGAATGATTTCAAAATGAGAATGAGAATGGTTTCCAAAGAGTCATGGCTGGTGTAAGAAAACAACACACTGTGTGAGAAACATCCCGTGCAGTCTGCTGGAAAAGCAATTACCAGTATGAACACGGGGCTTTAGAGGCATCTGTATTTGGCTTTGAATTATGGCTCTGTCATGTCCTAGCTATTGATAAAGACTGTTAACCTCCCGAAACCTCAGTCTTTGTACATTGGGGGTAAAAACAATACTCATTCTTAGTTTATTGTGAGAGTTAAATAAGATAATATATGTGTAGAGCACTTAGGCAGTAACTGATACTTACATAGTGATTATTATCAGTATTCTCATAATTAGAGACTTAATGGAGGTTTACCAAAGTATAGCATGTCTCAGAGATCTATTTACTTGATACCAGAGGCATGATCCTAAAATATTTCAGATAGATACCTGAAAAAAATGTGAATAACCAGGACAGTGATGGATTTGGAAAGACAATGACCATTTTGAGGATCATAAGTCAAGACCCATGATTTAAAACAAGAAAAATACCATTTTTTTTCTAAAGAAGTAGTGGCATAAAAAGCTGGCCCTTCTTTAATCAACTCATGCCTGGGGTTTGGCCACCTGTGCCATCAGGCCATGAGCCTGGACACCTGAACAAGGGTGTCCTTGACTGAGGGTGGGATGTTAGCTGGAGTTATAGCGCTTAATCATGGGCTTATTTCTCCCATCTCAAGGGACATGTTTTATTATGATGCCATTTTTTCTACTGTTGTAAAGATTAAATGACTTTCTGTTAGCCAGACTGTTTAGTATCTTAATCATTTTAAATGGTATCCATTATTTTCTTAAGTTTATTCTCTATTATAAATGTAATGATGTCTGCTTACTTTGATGTACGCTGAACATTATGAAGACAAAATGATTTATAACTTAATCTTAATTCTTCACTTTTTTTTATAAGCACTATCTCTTGGAGAACGATAAAACGGCGTTTCTATTGCTCTAATAATATATGACTTATCTCTCCTAGATTAATAGTGCTAGTTCATAATTAAAAACCCACCACGAAGCAAAGATTATTTGTTGACATCATGTGTGACATGACAGAGCATAAAGTAGTAATGCATCATTTACAATTTTTAATCTAAACATCAAAACTCTTGAAAGGAATAAATTGAGAACTTCAGAAAAATAATCCATACCTCAGGCTGACCCAGGACAAGAAATAAAGCTCGGATTTCCTTGAGTATTAAAACGGACAGTTTGCGTGTGGCCACCTGAAAACTGCAGAGTAAAACCAGAGCAAAGCCTTCCACAGCATGGAGGACACTGCAATGGGGACTTCGTTCCGACTGCATTCGGTGGCTGGAGCCATTTGCAATAAACTGTCATACAATAAGAACAACATTCTATATCAGAAAAATAACAGGGGAAGAAGAAACTAATCTTATATGTGCATCTTTGGGCACAGTTAACCTCGTGATATTAAATTAAATTATAATGGCTTAGGTCCAGACATGTCTATAAATTCATTATTATTCATGAAATATCACAGGTCCCTTTTTGTTTTTAGATCCATTGTTACTTAGGATACCATCAGCTCTCTATTATCTACGAGAAAAAATAACTTTTCAAAGGCTATTAACATTAATAAAAACAAAACTGCTTCCATCCATACCATATATTACTCTATATATTCAATTAAAGTGGCCTAATTTGTTTTTTACGTAAGTTCTCAATAAACTTTTTAGACAGTATTAAATTGCATTTTCAAATATTTACTTTCTAATTAGACTTGTTTTTCTATTAGATTCTAATTTAGGTTTTGGATGTTTATGAGATGGATTCTGAATGTTCCCAAACCACAACCAAATGAGTCTAAAATGCCAGCCAGACAACAGGGCAGAGTCCGCCTTCATTTCAGTTTTCCTTTTACAAGCATATGTAATCCTTGTGTTTGTTTTTTCCCCTATCATCTTTTGGCATGTATAGAACACAAGGAAGGAGAATGACCTGGACCTCATCACTGAAATCAGCCAATCTAGGATTTTAGCTGGTCGCTAAATACAATTATACCTCCCTGAACGCCCACGTTCCTCACATGCTCAGGTATGCTCTTCTCCAGCTAGACTCCTTGCCAATGCCATGCCACCACTGCCCTGGTTCTCCTCTGACAACTCTGCTCCTCAACGAGCTCTTCAAAGTGTTACCATGAAGTTTTATCATTTAGGACTGAGGCATGAAAGAATGAAGAAACTACAAGAGCGCACTTTTCTTCTCTGTAGATATGGATAACACAACCAATATGCTGTCACTTTGAAAAAAACCTGGAGGGCAGCTAACTTTTATATCCACATCCATATCCATTTCAATATCCATAATTCAGCTCTATCTCCCTGGCCTATTGTCATTGCTCTTGTAAATACATTTATAATCATAATTCTCTGAAAAAAATTCGACTCCCTAAATGGCCTTGTTAATGTTAATAAATCTAACCTGATATCTAACAAATCACCCCCTAAGTTTCTTAGTCACAATTTAGGCAGATGGAAAAAGTAAGGGCCGCCATTTGGGAGAAAGTTCCGAGGTAGCCAAGAGTAAGAACTCCATGGTTCTCTGGGCTCCAACTTGTTTACATCCATGGGAACCAATGGGAAGAATGTGAACATCACCTCTGAATTTCTGATTTTGTTGGCTTGCTCGTAGACTTTTCCTTGAGTTTGTATGACCAGTTTCCACTGGGTGAGCAGCTGGAGCAGTAACTTCAGGGAGGAGTCCAGGAGGCTGTAATGCATGTCATTTACTTCACGGAGCAGGAAGGTGGTGAAGCCAAATAGGACATCTTCCCTCCAGTCTGGGAAGTCAACCAGCAAACCCTGAAGAGAATTTTGTGCAATATGGCGCAGTTCATCATCCATGTGAATGGAGAGCCTGTGCAATGAATAAAAGACAAAAAAAAATACTTCATTACCTTTTCTTCTAGATCTATGAAGGAATATCTATAGGTCTCCGCTTTTACTTATATCTAAAAAATGGTCACCTTCTCCTAATATGTTATATTCTTCACTCAGCAACCCTAACATTAACATCTTATATAACCATGGTACTCTTATCAAAACTAAGAAATTAACATTGGTACAATGCTATTAACTACATTACAGGATTTATTCATATTTTACCAGTTTTCCACCAATGTCTTTTTTCTGTTTCATAATGCAATATAAGATACCACAGGACATTTAGCTGTACATGGAGACTTTTTGATACATTACTGACTAGAAGAATAAATTATCATCAAATCCTACCACTTTTAAAGATGAGAAACGTGAGTACTAGTGAAAGTAAGAGACTCAGTGAAAATGAACAATTAAAAGTCAGTCCAGGTGTCCTTAATTAGTTTGGTGTCCAAAGGGATGTTTGGTTGTCAGAGGAGACACTATGGTGATCACATGTTGGAGAGTACTGCTGGCATCTCTCTAGCAGGTAGAAGACAGGGATGCTGATAAACCTCCTATAGTGCACAGGACAATTCCCTATGACAAATAATAACCTGGCCCCAAATGTTGGTAGTGCAAGGCTGGGCTAGCCAACTGAAGAATATCAGTGTATTTCTGGTTTAACCTATATTAAATCTCAACATTGGTATGGGGCATTATAGTTAACATATGCTTTATAAATTCTTTCATTCATTTATTCAATAAAAAAATATTTTCCAGGCACTATACCCATTGCATACAGCCTTATGGCATGGAGTTCAGTATGACTGTGTCTATTGGGTAGGGGGTGCTGTGTAGAACAATGCTAGAGAAGGAGCAGGGGCAGCTCAGGGAAGGTCTATGGACCACCCCGGGAAGCAGTATAGCAGAAAAGGGGTTAAGTGTGCATGCTCTGGAATCAGTGCCTAAACCAGTATCTTGCTTTTGTGACTCATTAGTCATGTGACCTCATGCTACTTACCTAATCCCACCTAGCCTCAGAACCTCATTTGGAAAGTGGAGACAATAACTGTCCCTGCATCTCATAACCATGCTGTGAGGATCATTGAGACAGTCTGTGTACAGTGTTTAGCACCACATATAGCACGAGGTAAGCACTCAGTAAATGTCGGCTGTTATCATTAGAAGAAAATAAATGCATTCTGTAAATTATAGAAGTAACATGATTAATTCACATCTGAGAAAATAGACAGAAATATGGAGGATACCTTCAAGAAGCAATAAGACTGAGGGCAAAGGCCAGTCAGGAGGGCATTACAGTGAGTTAGGCAACAAGTGCGGGGTGGGTTCTGACCTGAGGCAAAGAAGTAACAAAGAAGGGAGAGATAAAGGACAAAGATTTTTAGGAGAGAAAATTTCCAGGACTCAGAAGCCTGGAAATGTTCAGTGTCAGAGTGGAAGGTGGCCAGTCAATGGGGGCCTCCCACAAACAGGGTCGATCTTATCCCCAAGCAATAGAAGGAGAAATTGTGACCCAGAGAGATGAAGGAACTTTCTTAAAATCCAGGATTCTGATCCAGGACTTCTAATTCTTAATCTAAAGTTTTCTCTGAAAACAAGTGTGGTACAGTTATACATTTTTGAATAAATAGTATTTCAAAAACTTGATAAATAAATACTTTTCTTATTGCCTAAAGCACACTAACTGGTCCAAATTTAACCAGGTCCAAATATCCAGGCAAAAGCTCCTAAGTAAGCAGATATGTACAAAGTCAGGGAAGATCTATTTCCTGTTCCCAAAACAAGCTCCACAAAGATGTGGAGAAGGAAGATGGAAGGCAATTCTTTGAGCAAGACCCAATTAAGTCCACAATTTTTAAGGAGATTACAACTGCTGAAAGAAAACTGAGACCCCTTTTAAAGCCTGGCTTCCAATTAAGAACTGTCTGAGATAGGAATTTACAAACTTTGTATCTCAATCAGCACCTCTATGAATTCTTTTATGTAGAACTCTAATATATAATACATAAATCTGAGCTGCTCTGGTTAAGGCTGAAGTAAAGGGAGTCCCCTCCCCCTTGAAGTCCACCCATTTGGGAAGAAAGATTCCTTTACTGTACAAGCAGCTTTAAGCCATCTTTGCAGCCCAGAGTGCGAAAACACTAGCTTATGAAAAATGCTTGAAGTGATTTCCCCATCTTACGGTTATTACTCGTGTTTACTGCATTTTACCTGCCTATATAGAGAATAGAGAATAAGCTTCTGCAGGTGACAAGCCACCTTTTAAAGACAGGAACAACAGGCACTCAGTAAATGTTAACTAATGACAATGGCCACGGTTATGGATTGAATTGTGTTTTCCCCAAATTCATGGCTGAAATTCAAACCACCAGGACCTCAGAATGAGACGTTATTTGGAACTAGGGTCATGCTGGAGCAAGGCGAGCCCTGATTCATGGTGACCTCATAAAAAGGGGAAATTTGGAAACAGATATGCACACAAGGAGACCGTCCTGTGAAGATGGAGGCAGAGACTGGGGTGATGCTTCTTTGCCAAGGAATACCAAAGGCGGCCAGAAAATGCCAGAAGCCAGGAGAGAGGCCTGAACCAGATTCTTTCTCACAGACCTCGGAAGGAACCAACCCTGCTGGCTCTTTGATGTTGGACTTCTAGCCTCCAGAACTGTGAGACAACAGATTTCTGTGTTTAAGGCACCTGGTTTGTGGTACTTTATTATGGCAACCTGAGCAAACCAATATAGTCATGAAGCCAGGACAGCATCTGTCTTTAGAGTCAAACTAAAGGCCATGTCACAGTCTATTTAGATGAAGCTTTTAAGTAAGGGCCAATGCTCTCAGCTTTCTAAATGAGATTAATTCTACTTTTCATTCAACTTTGCTCTCATTCATAATTTGCAATCTAGCATCTGTTTTATCGTTAAAAACACAATGCGGGACCATTTTAAGGACTGTGAGAGCCCCAAGGTTGAATAGCTCTTCATATTTGGGGGAGGGGGGGAGCACTCCTCTGGAAATGATGGCACTCACATTTGGCCAGTGTAAATGCTCAAAAATATCACTGGAGTATAAAGAGCTAGGACTGAGGTGGGAGCTGGGGGGGAGGAGCTTTAGGAACAGAAGACCCAATAGAAGATGAAAGTGGAGTTTTGAAGAAGAAAAAGGTCCAGACTGTCATGGAACTGAGACTGAATGAAAAGAATGTATCAAGACAAGTCTGGGTTGCAGCAGGTAAGGGAGAAGAGGACAAAGCTGGGAGAGGGTAACATGGGTCCCTGTGTTTGTTCCTTGAAGAATATGAATAGACAGCTGCCAATCAGATATAGTTCCTATTTCATCCACCCAGATCTTTCTCACTTTTACTTTTATTAGATTTTAACCAGAAAATCACAGATCATCTTGTGACAAACATAAAATTTACTATTGTAAAGCAGGAAACAGGAAAACAACAACTAGTAACTAACAAGAAAGAGAAGACTTAGAATTAAATGAGAAATGTGTCCAGCCATTCTGACTGTTCAGGATGTGTAGGAAAGCAGAGTGGATCTGGCCTGCAGATTGGCTAGTGGGGTAGTAGGCTTTGGTCAGAGGTACCAAGGCCCGAAATGGTGATTTCCAAAGGAATGAATCTTCAGTAAACCCCACAAACCAGCATCTTCCTTGTGCTAGTGGTGACTAGATGTAGGAAAGGAGTGGTTGTGTTTACACTTGGAATGAAGAGCAATGGGGAAGAACAGTAGGCTACAAAAGTCATTGATTGATAGCAGGAAGTGGTCAACAGAGGAAACCAGGATGGCTGTCCAGAGCAGGAGCACAATGGCCACAATGGCCAGAAGACACCGTACTCCATGGAGATACCCAGAAGCCAGGGGAGGCCACTGGGTGACCTGTAGTCATATGGGATGGGAGCTTGGGTATTTTGTTTGGGTATTGATGGAAGGGTGCTCTCCAAGGCTAGAGAATGTGGGTGAACAAGATTATTCATACATAATGCAACTTTTATTCAGTATGCACTAATATTTGTTACTCTTTATTCCACCGTTATCAGATTAACCTGCCTAAAATGGAATTTGTTATGTTATTCTTCTGTTTAAAACTACATCAGTCTGAATGTGTCAGCTAATAGTAAAGATGAGCTGAAAATCAACCTCTCATGTCTTATTTCTATTTCTTTTTATCATTGAGTTTCTAAACTCCTTTTTGTTTCCTTTTTTTTTTCCAAATCAAGGATAACTTTTGTTTTCCCCTTCCCTTTCCTCCATGCACCCTGTGTTTCTTATGATGTTGCCTTCTAAATGGCATTTAGATCATTTTGTCACTTTTGATTTTTGAATTGATAGGCATAATTGCCAATGAGAACCTGAGATCAATATGAGAAAGTTAAGCTTACTTAACAAAAATGATACAATCTCACTCAAAGCAAATTAACTTTAGGTTCTAGTGGGACTGTGGTTCTTGTGTGGGATGGGGAGGATGATAAATATATGATTTGGGACAGCTTTCTAAAGTACTAAAATTAGCTGAGGATCCCTGTTACCCACCCTCTTTCCTCCGCCACCCCCTGGAGGAGGTTTCTGTGGGCTTCAGATTGAAATCAGACCTAGAATGAACTTTTCCCAGTCAGACTCATCTACTCACATCCCAGCCCCACCGCTGTGATGGCCCCCATCAACCCCTTTGCCTTTCTGAATTCCATCTTTCCTTCGAAGGGCAGCTCCAGCTCTACCTTCTCCCAGGAGTTATGTGCCGACTTTCCCAGGCCATAGTAATCCTCCAGGTACTGAACTTTGTGACATTTTGTGCTATTAATTGCACAGTTCCAGGCCTTGGATTGTTAGTTACCTTATGTGTTGGTTTCTACTTTGGATTTTAAACTTCTTGAACCTCTTGAATGCCACAAAAATTTTCTTTATTCCTCCTTGCCTACACACAGTACCTAGAATAATGCCTCATTTGGTAAATCTTTGTCAGTTTTTAATAATCATTATCTTTTTGGGTAAATCATGACAAAGGCTTAAAATCAATTTAATCAAAGAATGTCCACGACCATTCCCACCTACCTAGCCAGCAAGTCGATGAGTTCAAGTTTTGACATCCCATCAGGAAGCAGCCGGGGAATAGCAGCAACACATGTCCTGAAAAGGTCTATTTTGGGCTTTCTCTCACCCCTAAAATGTGAAAACAAAGTTTAAACATAGTCAATGGTTATGATAAATTTAAAAAATTTGAGCAACTATGTGAACAAAGACTAGAATCCATGCTTTCTGAATCACTGTCTATTTGCTCCATATTATTTTCAAATGTTTATGCCCTTTACAGCTTTGCCAGCTCTGAGAAAACTAATAAAGATTTAAATGTTAGTCAGAGTTACATATCTGAAAAGAAAAATGCTGATACCAATAGCATTCCACCATGCAGCTTGCCATTCAATTGGGATTTGGTCCCTATGGACTGCATTAAAAACACTGAATTTATTGAAATTCCTAAATGCATCAGCATGTAAGAAATACACAATAGTTATTCCTACATTCAGAATTTAAAAATGGGGCTTTATACAAGCAATACTATCTCTTACAAGCATGACATCTGGAAGTTTCTCTTTTTTTTTCTTCTTTATTAAGGTATTACTTATGGAAGCTTCTCTTCATGATGAGTTGTGCTTCTCCTCTAAAGCTCCCATCCTATTTTTTAAAATGAAGTGCTTCAAAAATGTCTTACATAATGTCAAGTAAAATACTGCAATGCATATTTCTCTGCACCCATTTCTGATTTTAAAAATTATTCCAATGGGCCTGACCTCTATGAAGATTCCTTCTTTCTTTTTCCTCTCTTGAGAATAAATGTCAACAAGTAATTAATGCCTTCTGCACTGTTGTAAAATCTGAGGGAAAAATGTAAATTCTGTAATAAATTCCTTACATTTCTAGTTGTTTAAATAACTACCTTCTTAATCACATATTTTATCAAATAAACTTTATAAAAAAGCTTAACTACCCATCAAATTTTTCAAGTAACCCAAGTAACAGCATATTTAAATTCTGATGATTGAGTCTTCTGAGAATAAATATAAAATTGTCACCACCAAATTAATATAATTATTGGACACAAAATACAATAATGAAAATGCAAAGTAGCATAGTAGTAATTCCTTCTTGGAATAGTAACTGTGGTCTGAATAGAAATGCAACAAGGAGAATTCTCTACATTCTAAAGATGATAACATTGCTTTCTAGCATGCTTTTGTAAGTTTGTTAAGAATGAATACAAAACTGTTTATGTGAAAAATGAAATACTTCTATGTTGATTTCTAAAATACTTTGCTTCTGTGGAAAGTCATGAGACTATTTTCTCTCCTTTTCCATGGTCCTGCGTGGTGTGCACGAGGACTGTGGAGAGGAAGCTATTGTGTCATGGTTTTCAATTGGCTAAAAAAGAGGACCTTCAAATAATTTCCTCAGTACCTGGACAGAGGTAGAGCCCAGGGATTTCTCCCAACTGTTCATATTCAACTCCGTGAGTCATTTAAATAGTCCTCCTAACTTGCTCACTAGATGTTTTAAACAGTTGGGATTATTTTCCATATCTGTCAGAAAACGGATGACCTTGCCTAGCCTGAAGTCCAAGGCTAGTTCTTGCAGGCTTCCAAGCCTAGATTAGAGGTTCTAATTGGTGTAGGATTTCCTTTTACCACTGTAGGCCTTGCTCGCTGAGCTTTTACAGGAAGCATGTGAGCCCCCCAAAACATAATTTTCCTTAACATATATTATTATTATTATTATCTGCTAGCATGAACCATAAAAGGGATGGGAAATGGAAATGGCATGACGCAGAATGCTTAGTGTTTAAGTTCAAACCTTAAGCAGGACCTGGGAAAGTGGTGGACCAGCCTTGAATATTAACTCCAATAATCATTCCGATTAGCGTGGTGTGGACCACAACACGCTTCTCCTAAATGTGGCAATGAGTTACTGTCCACTCAGGAATCTGCCTTAGAACCTAGCATGAAAAATATTCCTAGTCCTATTTGGGGGTCTCAAGATGATTCAATAGGAAAAAGTACAGAATCATCTTGGGAAAAGTTTAAGGTATTGGCTAAAATACAGATGAAAATTTTACATGTACATTTAAATCTGTACCTGTTTATGGTTTTGAATATATTGTTTGGTCCTGACTCTATTTTGTGACATCTTGATTATTAATAAAGTTTTCCTGTAAAGGCCTTTCATTTCTTTACTGTTTTAAAAGAGGAAAGAACTCTATACCAGAAGTTTGAAAAGCATTTTCTATATCTTCTATATTATAAATTTAAAATTGCTTTAATATATTCAAAAAGTATGTAATAATGATGTTAAAGGTTTATGGACAATCTGGTAATTGTGAGGTAAGAGCCAGAGCTACAGACAATATATTTAATGTTATCATCCTTGGTCAGTTTCAACTCTGCTGTCACTTTGGTTGAAAAGTCTTTATATGATCTTCATCTCATTATACAATAGCATGCATTGTATATACCATATTTTTGTAAAAAATGTATATATATAGTTGTGCTGACACAGGGAAAGGTCTTGGAGGAATCACACCAAGCCAAGGAATGGTGACAGATTTCAAGTGGAGCTCTGAGGAGGAGGCTTTCATTTTAACTTTATATGATGCTAAATATGTATTTACTAGTAAAATAATTCTGTAATTTTTACTCTTCTTGTTTTATTTTGTCATACTTTGTTTTCAACATGCCATCCTCGTAAAATACACACCTACAATATAAACTTCCCTATATAGGTAGCAACCTTCTAACTAACTGTGGTATTTGGAACTGAATATGCTGAGTGACAAAGAAAATTTTCCTAACTATATATTTTTGGAAAGTTATGCCACAGGTGCAAAATATAATTTAATTCACAGTCCAACAGCAAAATAGAAGCTTTGTTAAAATGTTAAGTTAATGTCCTGGACAGTTTTTCTCAGTGGTTAGAGCATCAGCATTCAGACTGAAGGGTTGTGAGTTTGATTCCCAGTCAAGGGAATGTACCTCGGTTGCAGGTTTGATCCCCAGGCCTGGTTGGGGCACATGCGGGAGGCAACCAATGGATGTGTCTCTCTCACATTAATGCCTCTCTCTCTCTCTCTCTCTCTCTCTCTCTCTCTCTTTCTCTCTCTCTCCTTCTCTCTCTGTCTCCTCCCTCCCTTCCACTCTACCTAAAAAAATAAATGGAAAAATATCCTTGGGTGAGGATTTTTAAAAAAAGTTAAGTTAAAACCCAATCCTAGTTTCTGCCATAATTAATCAAATGTAGCAAATATAAGTTGTATGAGTTTCTTCTGTAGAACTCTGATTCTAAATCTAGATCTTAGATTTTGGCTTAAGAACATTTCATTTCTACATTCAAAGTTACGAATGCTTTCTTAGAATCCAGTATTTCTATGACATGGTTGAATAGAGACTATTTTTTTTAATATATTTTATTGATTTTTCACAGAGAGGAAGGGAGAGAGACAGAGAGCCAGAAACATCGATGAGAGAGAAACATTGACCAGCCGCCCCCTGCACCCCCCCCACCGGGGATGTGCCCACAACCCAGGCACATGCCCCCGACCGGAATCGAACCCGGGACCCCTCAGTCCGCAGGCCGACGCTCCATCCACTGAGCCAAACCGGCTTCGGCAATAGAGACTATTCAGTCGGTTTAAGTCTCTCAGTTCAGGACTATCACCAGAAACAAGTGAATTTGACATTTATAAAGATGGAATGTCTGTAAACTGGTGATCAAGCTTGCGAACAAAACACCACTTCTGAAAAATGTGCAGTACAGCACTGGGAGCAAAATGCCATGTCTGAAAAATGTGAACCAATGAATGAGTCTTGGGCCCATTTTCTAACTTACTGGCCTGATGCTACTTCACATACAACCAAAATAGCTCAATATCAGGTTTGACCTTATTTTCAGAGTTAGTAAAATATTACAAAAGTATGTTTTTACAATCTTAACACTTCTTAAAAATCTGATTCTAAGAATGAAAGAATAAAATACAGTTGACCCTTGAACAACATGGGTTTCAACTGTATGGGTCTACTTACACACAGATTTTTTTCAATAAATATGAACAGTACTGTAAATATATTTTATCTTCCTTATGATTTTCTTAATAACATGTTCTTCTCCCTAGCTCACTTTATTGGAAGAATACAGTGTATAATACATATAGCATACAAATATGAGTTAACCAATTGTTTATGTTATCGGTAAGATATCTGATCAAAGTAGACTATTAATAATTAAGTTTGGGGGAGAAAAAGTTACCCATGGATTTTCAACTGTGCAGGAGTCAGTGCCTCTATTCCCCATGTTGTTCAAGGGTCAGCTACACAGAATAAATGAGAAGAATCTCTGCTGGTGTCTTCTGGTCAATCAACCCTTTGTTGAGACTTAGTCCTCACTGTACTCACGTGATCATGTCCTCAGGTTCTTTGTTTAACATCTGGACGTTAGTTAGCATCATACACCTTCCTACTTCTTTATCAAGGTGCCTTAAAATGCTGTCCACAGCTTTTCGTACTTGAGAATAATATAATGACATGCCTGAAAAAATGCATTACATTTACATCTTTGACTAAATTTATCAAAGAATGAACTCTTAGTGTATTTATCCTCTATGTCATTTTTTACTGAAGACTTTCTATGGGTGATGGCTTTTTTGAACAAAGTCTAATTCAATCTCTTATCTGCAGGATTGTTAGCACAGTGCCCTGCACTTAGTGGGTGTTCACCAAATACCCATTTAAATTAGGAATAAATAGGAATTCTAATACTTCAATGGGAAATATTTTTCGGAATAGTTAAAATAAACAAAGAAACAGAAAGTTCTACTTTAGAATTTTTATATTTCTAATTAGTACAAGAAAATTCACCATCATTAACGAGTGAAGGATAATTCTCACTTGGGGTGAGGATATTCTCTGAAATATATGTGTGGATTTTTAAAAATAAAATAAACAAAATGACTTCACATCATAAATTTTAAAATAAAGGAAAATATATTTTAGCTATATTACTTTACTGGTTTCATTAAATACAGTGTCAGTGTCCTACAGGGATAGACACATATGTATAGCATATGTATTTCAAATATGTATTTTATATGTTTATGTATATAATACAAATGAAAAGTAAATTGCATTGCATTTACAATTTATACTTTAATAAAATAATTATTAATGGTTATTTTTCATGCATCAAATCTTTTTGAACTAATTTAAGCATTGCAGAAAAGATAAATACAAGGTGTCCCCAAAAATGTAAACACTTTAACAGCTGATAGCACAATTTTGAAAATGAAATGTATTCTAATAAATACTGCCTTTATAATTATTCAAAATATGTGTGTACATTTTTTTTGGAACACCTTATATTTATAGCAAAAGATGTCCTCATGTATTTTTGTTAGGCCTTTGAATTCTAGTTACTATCTTAACAAACTTTGTAGTAGGTTTCTAAATTCAGGTACTCAGGAAGAAGTAAATATAATCTTAGGATTAAGATTGCTAAATTACAATGAAAATCTCATATAGGCTAAACCCATAACATAACCCAGTATGTGTGGTAAAACACAGACTAAACTAATTTTACTAAAAAAAAAAAAGAAGAAAAAAAACTATAAATATGAACAAATAAATGGATGAATAAATAAATGTATATGTGGTTGCTTTATAAACAAGATTATCTACCAAAGGACACAGATGTCTTAGAAATCTACTATAAATTGTAGATAATCAACATTAGAAGTTTGAAAAGACCACAGATAAGAGTCTAACATTAAAATGGCAAAATATTTACCAGAAAGTTCCAAAAAGTTTAAAGGGCAGCATAGCTACTTTTATAAAGATTTTTTTTGCCCTGGCCAGATGGCTCAGTTGGTTGGAGCATCCTCCCATGCACCAAAAGGTTGTGGGTTCCATGCCTGGTCAGGGAACATACCTAGGTTGAGGGTTTGATTCCCGGTCAGGGCACATACAGGAGGAAACCATGGATGTTTCTCTCCCAGATGGATATTTCTCTATATACCTCTGTCTTTCCCTTCCTCTCTCTATAAAAAAAATAAACATATCCTCAGGTGAGGAAAATAAAACATATTTTTTCAAAGTGTATTACTAAGGGTAAATATTTTGGATCATTTTAAAGACTTAATAAGTCCCATATCTAACACATCTTTGAAACCCACCTATCATTTTGGCCTCCTCTTCAGTGAGTGTTTTACTCAAATATGTTTTCTTCACTCTCAACGTGTTTCCTGATGGGAGGACAGCGCCTGTAACGGGCATGGGTGGTTCGCCGTCTTTCTGCTGTAAGCTATCAGCTATGACCAAGAAGGCCCTTAAACCGATGTTCATTCTCTGTAAGAGACAGTGGATTTGTGATACAAAGAAATACCCAATTATTGTGGTGCAATTAAGCCAACAGTTTTGTAGGGCAGTTAAGTGTGGCTTGCCATCTAGATTAGTGTGGGAAAGTAATTTAAAAGGTACAAGAGTTTACGCCAAACCTATGAAAATAAAATACAGTTTCTGCTATTTGTTATAATGTCACAAGAAAACAAGCAGGAAATTTTTCAAGTCTTGGAGGGCACGTTTGAGATGGTCATTCTCATTCCGTTTGGGGGACCCTCAGTACACCTCACAGAGGTGAGCAGTCATCCTCCAGGCCAGCTGCCACTAAGGTAAACTAAGGCAAACCGAAGGCTCTATGTCTCCTTGAAGGAGAGATGCAACATGTGCGAATTCACAAAGACCAAGTAAAAGAGAATTTCCACATGAGAATGACAAAACAAAAATCACCTGCTTGGAATTGCAGGTGGTTGACTTTTGATTCAAAAGGCTGGCAAATTGGAAAATAAATTTTAAAAACTCAATGCCACAGAACCTGTTACTGATAAACACACATGAGCTTATGAGAAGAAACACCACCAATTCCATTTTTAGGAATTTATCTGAAGACACCTGAAACATTATTTTGAAAGAATATATGCACCCCTATGTTCATTGCAGCTTTATATACAATAGCTAAGATTTGGAAGCAGCCCAGGTGTCTGGTAGATGAAGGAATAAAAAAGCTGTGGTACATTTATACATGGAATACTACTCAGTTGCAAAAAAGAAAGAAATTTTACCCATTGCAATAGCATGGATGGTTCTGGAGAGCATTATGCTAAGTGAAATAAGCCAGTCAGAGAAAAACAAGTACCATGTGATTTCACTCATATGTGGAATCTAATGAACAAAATGTACTAACATGGATTGGTAAAATCAACATCATTAAAATGTCCATACTACCCTAGGCAATCCACAGATTCAATGCAATCCCTATTAAAATACCAACAGCATATTTCACAGATCTAGAAAAAATACTCCAAACATTTATATGGAACCCAAAAAGACCCTGGATAGTCGTAGCAATCTTGAGAAAGAAGAAAAAAGTTGGAGAGATCACAATACTAGATTTCAAGTTATATTACAAAGCCACCATAATCAAAACAGCCTGGTACTGGCACAAGAACAGGCATATAGATCAATGGGACAGAACAGAGACCCTAAAAATCATTCCAAGCCAATATACTCAATTAATATTTGACAAAGGGCAATGGCATAATAGTACTAGTATAGTGGAGTCAAGATAGTCTCTTCAATAAATGTTACTGGGAAAATTGTACAGATACATGCAAAAAATGAAACTAGACCACCAACTTACACCATACACAAGAATAAACTCAAAATGGATAAAAGACTTAAATGTAAGTTGTGAAACCATAAAAATCCTAGAAGAAACCATAGGCAGCAAAATCTCAGACAGCTCTCGTGGCAGTGTGTTTATGGATACATCTTCTAGGGCAAAGAAAACTAAGGAGAAAATAAACAAATGAGATTACATCAAAATAAAAAACTTCTGCACAGCAAAAGAAACCATCAACAAAATGAAAAGGGAGCCCATTGCATAGGAGAACATATTTGGCAATGATAGAGCTGATAAAGGGTTAATACTCAAAATATATAAGGAACTCATACAACTTAACAGAAGAAAGACAAACAATCCAATTAAAAAATGGGCAAAGGACCTAAATAGACACTTCCTCAAAGAGGACATACAGATGGCCAAGAGACATATGAAAAAATGCTTCAAGTCACTGATCATTAGAGAGATGCAAATTAAAATGACAATGAGGGATCACCTCACACCTATTGATTTGCTACCATCAACAAATCAATAAATGGTAAGTACTGGCAAGAATGTGGAGCAAAGGGAACCCAAGTACACTGCTGGTGGGAATGTTGACTGGTGCAGCCATTATGGAAAACGGTATGGAGTTTCCTCAAAAAATGAAGCATGGAACTTCCATTTGATCCAGTGATCCCACTTCTAGGAATATATCCTACGAAATCTGAAATATCAATCAGAAAGAATGTGTGTACCCCTGTGTTCATAGCATCATAATTTACAATAGCTAAAATCTGGAAACAGCCCAAGTGCCCATCAGTAGATGAGTGAATAAAAAAGCTGTGGTACATTTATACCAGGGAATATTATGCAGCAGTAAAAAAAGAAGAATCTCTTATCCTTTGAGACAGCATGGAGGGACCTGGAGAGTATTATGCTAAGTGAAATAAGTCAGTCAGAGAAAGACAAGTATCACATGATCTCACTCATAAGTGGAATCTAAGTAACAAAATATACCGATGAAAAGAATGGATCCAGAGACATGGAAGCATAAAACAGAGTGTGGAATCTCAGGGGGAAGGTGGGAGAGGGTGTTATCTTTCTTGGGCTCAGGTAAGGCATAGTAACAGCTCTGGAAGATCAGTCAGTAAGACACTCCCACTACAATAATCTTAAAAGGTCAGAACATCAGTACTTCCTTATACAACCATGTATAAAACACTTATTCTCATATTTGCAAACCACATGAAGTAATAAGTTCCCCAAATAGACTACTTCCTACAGCAGAAAATTATTAGTACTAAGAAAGATAATCTATATACAATTTATCGAGTCCCTAAAATGTATCCAGAATTCTCATCTTTAAAACAGTCATGGTGAAGGCCTGGGGAGCGGGCAAGAGGGGGATGGAAGGAGTGAATGGTGAAGAAAAGGGGAACATCTGTAATACTTTAAAAAATAAAGATGAATTTTTTAAAAGTCTATTAATTCCCTCATGTATTTGAGTAGTCCTTTCATGAAATGTTTTCTAGGCTCATGCATTTTTTTGAGTTTTGAGAAATATCTATCATCTATCATCTATCTATCTATCTATCTATCTATCTATCTATCTATCATTTATCTATCATATATATCAGGTAACTGTCATCACAGTCAAGATATAAAATATTTCCATCATTCCAAAAAAACCTCTTGTTCCTCTTTCTAGTCAGTCCTCTACTTCAACCCCAGAACCTACAACCCTTTGTCTAATTTTTACCTATAGTTTTGCCTTTTCCATGTGATATAAATGGAATCAAACCATATATATAGCCTTTTGTGTCTTGCTTCTTTCACTTTGCATAATGCTTTTGAGATGTTGCAATATCAGTAGTTTGTTCCTTTTTATTGAAGAGTTTTCCATTGTATCGATGCTTCATAATTTGTTTGGCCATTTACCAGCAGCTGAACATGAGCTGCTTTCCTACTTTTAGTGATTATGAATACAGCTGATATAAATATCCATATAAACCTTTTGAATTTAATTTCCTGAGGTGAAAATGTTGGATCATATGGTACATGTATGTTTAACCTTATAAGAAATTGCCAAGCTGTTTTCTAAAGTGGTTGTACCTTTTTTGCATTATCATAAAAACAGTGCGAAGTTGCAGTTGCTCTGTATCCTTCTTAGCACCTTTCACTTTAGTTTCCCTTGCTTTTCCCTAATGATTAATGATGTTGAACATCTTTTCAGGAACTTATTTGTCATTTCTACCTCTTTTTTTGGTTAAGAGGCTGTTCATTTTTCCCATTTAAAAAAACTGGGTGTTTTTGTTGTTGTTGTTGAATTGTGAGAGTTCTTTATAAATTTTGGATAGAAGTGCTTTATCAGATATGTTTTGCAAACGTTTTCTCCCAGTCTGACTCTACATTTTATTAACAGTGTCTTTTAAAGTGCAGACTTTTTTTTTATTTTGGTGATGTTCAATTTTTATCAACATTTCTTTTGTAACTTATGTTTTATTATGTCCTGAGAAAATTTTTGCTCACCCAAAGTTCACAAAGATCTTGTTTTTTTTTCTGGAAATTTTATAATGTATTTTACATTTAGGTTTATGTTTAATTTAAGTTAATTTTTGCTTACAGTGAAAATTATGGGACAAAGTTTATTATTTTCAAGTGGATATCCAGTTGTTCAGCACCATTTATTAGAGAGACTATCCTTTATCCACTAAGATAACTTGGAACCCTTGTTGAAAATCAACTGACCACATAAGTGTGGGTATGTTTTCGGATTTTTTATTCTGTTTCATTGGTCTTTACATTCATCCTTCCTCCAATACTACTACTGTAGCTTTATAGTAAATTTTGAAAGCAGGACATGCCAGTCCTCCAATTTCATTATTTTTTAAAATTATGTTGGTTATGCTAGTTCCTTATACTTTCCATATACATTTTAGAATCAACTTATTTATTTCTATAGGAAAAGCAGGATTATTATTGGAATTATGGTTTAGATTAATTTGGGAATAAATAACCTTGTATAATCTTAAATCTCTGAATTTACAAACAGTATTTCTCTTCCTTTATTTGTTATTTTTTATTTCTCTCAATGTTTTTTTAGTTTTCAGTATATAAATGTTGCACATATTTTGTTAGCTTTATTGCTAAGTATTTTGTTTTCATTGGTATTGTAAATTGTTCAATTTCCAATAGTTTTAACTGAAAATATAGAAATACATTAATTTTATATATTTATCTTATATCCTACAAACTTTCTAAAATATTTATTAGTTCTAGTAGGTTTTCTGTAGGTCCTTTGGTATTTTCTATATAGGTAATTATATTGTCAGTGAATAAAGACAGTTTTATTCCTTCCTTTCTAATATATATGCTTTTAGTTCTTTTTGCCACTGGCACTGGCTAGGACCTCTGGGTCCACATTATTTTAGATCAAAACAAAAATGAGAGAAATGGATGATCAAGAAACTCTTCTCACAGATGTGTAAATTCTTATGATGATGAGGGTGCACGAAAAAGTCCATTAGGATTGAACTAAGATAAACACTTACCTGGAAATCACCTAACTGCTGAGTGTGGAGCAATACTGATTTGCAGTGAGATAAACCTTTAGATCTTGGGTCTGTTCCACAAGCTACTTCCAAAACATATATAAGATACAATCTGGCCCGGAGGGAAAAATGGT